ATTGCTTCTGAACAGGAGCTTCGTGCACTTTTTGTTGTTTCAATGTACGAGCATCAAGGTGTTGGCAGAATGATTTTGGAATATCTTGAAGAATTGGCTTTGGAGAAAGGTGTGAATATGTTCAAACTAGATGCAATTCTCAATACTGAGACATTTTACATCAGTCATGGCTATTCGGTAATACGGTACGACACTCATCCTTTGAGCTCAGGTCACCAAATGAAGTGTGTCAAAATGAGCAAGGAACTACGGAAGCACTAGAGACGAATGAATAGCTATTTTGTTTCTATTTAAATTATCATAGAAGAACTTATATGATTGTTCATCTTGGAATTTCTATCTAACTTTTTCTAGATATATACATAGCATCTGAAGGTTTCGAAAGGAAATGTTGAACGTGAGTGGATCAAAGCATGAGGGTGTATAAGACCACAAATCTGCCTCCGTAACTTTTTGTTTTCAATCAAGTCAAATCATGTATGAGATAAAAGTACTCATTTAGACTAGCATTTTGATACTAAATTCAATGGGCCATATCATTATCAGTAGTGAAAATACGAACAAAATTTTTCATCTTATATTGCAAAAGTTTAGGTAAGAGAGTAAAGAGTAAAACGCAAAGACGAATGAAAAGCCATTGTATCGTAAGAACTCCATAAAGAGATTCAATAGATAAATGGAAAAATGGTAGAAGAGATGTTTCAATAAGAGATATTTGTTTTTGTGAAAAAAATTCTATGCATAAACGTGAAACAGAAGCTGAAACATAGGGTGTGGGTGTGAGTGTGAGTGTAGATGTGACTGTAGCTATGGCTGTGTACCTTTTCTTCACTTGTCCCACAACTACACTCTCACGATTTTTCTATTAATCTATGTAAATTTATTGAAATAGTATTTATATCAGAAATACAAGCATTTGTAATAAATAGCAACGATAAAACATATCGATTATCTATAGAAATAAATCATCAAATAACATATCTAAATAATGTTTATATTGATAAAAATATTCACAGTGCAAATAATAAATTATTATATTATACTAATGTATGGTATGATACAATGCAAACAGCTCGTTTAAAAATAATACCAATATAGTATATGAGAAAACATGATTCAGCTAATAGTGGTATCAGTAGTGTTTTTTCAGTATTTTTTTTTATTTTTTATTTTTGTCTTTTATTATATAGTTAATATGTTCCGTTGTGAATAAAATAAAAAATAAATGTGTTTAAGCAGTAAGCGAAAGAATATTGTTTAAATAATGTTTTAAATATATCGTTGAAATTTTGTTTGTTTTAATTGTTCATCACGGCTAATATTAGTAGCAGTAAGATTTGCATCACTAATCAAGTTCGATGCTGATGATGATGATAAATAATTTATATTACCAAAACGTATAGCTTCTGTATCAGCAGTTTGTTGAATTCCTTCATAACTAGTTGCATTTGGTAATGAAAAATCTTGATTGATTATTTCATTTGACTGATTAAAATCAACATTATTTTCCCATATATTTGTATATATCGAAGATGATGGTACCGGAGGTGACTACAATAAAAAAATCTATGAATATTTTTTTTAAGATTATTTTTACAAAAAAATTTACTGTATCTTCAGTAACACCAGCATTATGAGCCTGTTGAACAAGTGTCGTTGAATTTAAAAGTGATGACCCATAGCGAGCTACATAATCGGCAGGATTTGCTTTGATAACACCAAGTCTTTGAAATTGTCGGACTACACGTGCTTCAATAGTATCATAAATAATAACCGTATTATGTGGTTCTGGATATACTACAGAAGCAGAAGCGTGTTCAACAATTGTACGACGTTTAGGTGGAGGTCCATAGGGAATCCATCGTTCAATTATAATATCGCCTAAATAGCAATAAAAAACAACAATCCGAAATAAAAATCAAAAAATGAAACTGAAGATAATTCTTCTACGTGGTTTTTGTGGAGGAGGTGGAAAACGTTCGATGACAACTGATCGTGGTGGAACAGGTATAGGAGGTAAATGACGAATAACTGTAAAATAAAATACATTGATCAATCTAATTTATATAATTTAAATTTGTTTTCTTTTAAACCTGTTTCACTAGGAACAGGTGCCGGTGGTGTTGGTGGACGTTCACGTAAGATAAGTGGAGGTGGTTGAGGAAGAGGTGTTGCATGTTGGCGTATGATAAGTGGTGAAGGTGGTGACGGTGGTGCTGGACGCACTTCTTTAATAATGAGTGGCTAAAATTATACAAAGTTTAGTCAGATTGAACTTGTGAACATTTGTTTCATTACTCCTGGTGGTGGAACAGCTGGTGGTTGAAGATATCGAACAAAAATTCGTTGTGCATATCTTACTGGACCTTCACTTGTTGCTCGTCGAATAATGCGTGGATTAGGATCTTTATAAATAAGACTAGCCGATTTTTCAAGATAGGCTTCTGTTTCTTCCGAACTGCTTGTATTAATCACTTGATGATTAATCAACTGATTAGACACTGCTGTGGTTTCATATGAAGCATATTTATCAGCTGTATGGTCCAAAGCATTTTGAGAACCAAATTTATATTTATTGCGATAAAACCGACGAGTAGTATTATCATTACCGTTAAATCCACCAGTTGATGATTCATATGATGAAGAAGGCCACTCTTTAGTATTTGAAACCCATTTACGAAATTCATCTTTATCGATTCTAAATATGTATATATGGATTTATTATTTTGATAAAAATTCATAATTCCTACCTTCCATCTTGATTTGTATCAATTTCTTCAAACGTAGCTGAAGCTGTATCAGATTTTGACATGTTTCAAAATCGACAAAATCGAAATGAAATCTTAAAAAAAAGACTAACGATCATTAATTTATAAATCTATCATAAAAATATTAAATGCTCAATGAAACATGAGCGACATCATACATAAATACAAATATCCAACACTTAGTTTATAACATCAAAAGCGTCTGTGTTTATATTCTTTTTAATTTTTTGATAAAAAAAAACTAGAAGTATTAATAAAACAAAAAAAATTTAAATAGTTGTCGCGTCATCCTCACAAATAGTTCTTGAAGGTTAGAATATAACCATGAGAATATTGTCAAAAAAAAAGAAGAAGAGTCCTTCATTCAATAAGATGAAGAAAAATTCATTCATTTAGGGTTCAAAAAGAAGGTTATGAAATTAATGAAGTCACTAGTTTAACATTATTTGCTATTACTTTTAGCTAAGTAACTTTTTCTTATCTCATATATATATGTAAGTACCTCATGAACTTTGTATATCGGTTTAAAAGTGAACATTGAAGATCAATAGACTATTTCAACTATTTGAAGCAAAAAAGAGCTTATACTCAGCTTTCGTTTAACTTTGATTTTCATAACAGTATTTAAACATGTCACTTGATAAACTGTTAAAAATATTTGATTAGCCATCAAAAACGTGTTAGAACAGTTTAAGATTAATATGTTTTAACGCGTTTTTGACAATTGCTCAAAGATTTTTAACGTTTTTTAGATTTTTGATAAAAAATGTGGTAAAAATTAATGCACATTCCGTTTAGATGATCAACAAACAAATATATGGCGTGTTCCACAAATGTATACACAAAAAATATATCTCCGAATAACTTTATTATTGATTGACCTTTATTAATAGACTTTTCTCAAATGATCGATGACAAGATCAAGTTTTTGTTTCGATAGGCAAACTATTAAAGTGCTCTTCAAAGTAGTTACCTTCAGCCAAGATACAAAAATTCAACATTTTTCTGGTTCCATTATAATATTTCGCAATATTTGTTTTAAAATTAATTCAGTTTCTCGATCAATTCTGATCTGTAAACTGTTCAAATGTCAAACAGTTAAAAAAGAAATGTTGCAAAATATTATTATGAAATGAGAGAAAAAGGTTGAATTTTTGTAATCCAGCTAACGGTAATTACTTTAAAGAGAAATTTCAAGCGTTGTCTATAGAAATAAAACCTTGATGGTATTACTTATCATACGAAACCTGTAAATACTTTGTAAAGATCTCTAAAATGCTATTAATACAAGAAGATTTATAGTAAAATTTAGGAAAAGATTGCCATTTCATACTATGAAGCAATTTCCATTAATTTTCGTGAAAATCGAAATCTAACCTCATTTGTTCTATTTGTCTTTTTACTTTAAATATCCTTGTTTTTTTTTTGAAAAATGCCAATACGAGTTTCTCGTCTCATATGTTGGGTAATTAAATTCTCAAATGTCATTGACAATACTCGATCAGATAAAAGTAAAGCTATAAATATTCTGTCATTAGAAGATTTAATGCCTATTGTTTGTATACTAAGAAACCCAAGTGCCATATTTATAATAACTGACGAATTGGATTTTTGTATGAATAATTATTTAAAAATTCAGATCAATTCACGGATTGGCTAGAGAGAATGGAAATAGCAATCAGTTAAGAAGTTTCTACTAATTAAAATGACTACAATCTGAATGCCAATATCGATGGAAAAATTTTTGAAGGAAAATCGTGATGAACCACGATCACTTCAACTAGAGTTATTTGCAGTTTTTAGAAACCACCAAAGTCAGACTGTTTATTCGGTTTTTTGAAATCTTCAGTTACCACGGTTTTCAAAAACCGAATAAATGGTCTGACTTTCCAGGTTACCTAGAATTTGTGAAAACCACAGATTTTTCAGATCACGATACACCGCGATTCATCTAAACACGTCTGAGTCAACTGACCTGCCTTACAATGCTAGACTCATCTGATGTATTTTCAAAGTCAATGCGAGTTGCCCTTCGAGAACCAATGCAGTGAATTTTTACAAGTCCGGTTACCACAATGCTACTTTGCACTGAGAGATGAGCTAACAAATTTGTTTCAAGTTTCTTAAAAATAGTGTCGCACGACCCTCTTCTCGCTGTTACACATTATCATACTTCAATATTTACATCAATATCAAAAAATGCGACTTGCATTGTGAAAAATCCGATTTTATAATAAACTATTTTTACCAAAAAACTGATGGCATCAATTGTGACTATTCAAGTAAACAAAAAAATAGTGAAAATGGGCGATGTGACCAGTCCGAAGAACAGAAAAAGAATAAAAAGTGTAAACGAAAAGTGGATTCGAACATCTGATCTGACAGTATTCAATACTTGACGGCTGTTTTGACACCAGACCATGTTTGACAATGGACTGACATGAGTTTGAACAGCCTAAAAAGCAGAGAGATACTCGTCCATTTGTTAGACACTCTAACACTGGTGAAAAAAACTTGTTAGTACAGCTCCTTTGGTACTGAAATGTGGTACTCATAATCTGTGACTGTTATAACTTGATAATATATTGTCAAAAGTTTCAAAGCAACTTATGAAAAATTTTATTATTACTTTTCTATCAATTTATTTGATTCATTCCACATCTGAATGTTGAAAAAAAGTTACTTTTAGTGCCCGATGCACCTGAAATATCAAGACATATTAAATGTTAAAAAAATATTAATTATTAACTAATTAAATTATAATTTTACTTATTAATTAACTCACTGCTGTCGAAAAAAAATGCGTTTCACAAAAAAAGTGATTCTGCTAGTCTACAACACCTTCAGCGACAGTCAGGACCTGTTAGAAATAACTGTATTCGTCATGGCTACTACTCATCCAAAAATACGATAGACTTGTATTAAATTATATAAAACTCACTTGATCATAGAATACTTTCGACGGTCACTAAACTATCAACACTTTTTTCGAACAATCACATTTTACAAACTTCTATTGTACTTTCCCTTCTGCAATACATCAAGGTCATACATTAGAGAGTTCTCTTCGATGCAGAACATCTTTCAAAGTTTGACTCTTTCTGTCAAAGTACTAGAATTAAAATACGTGCACCTACCTATGCAGTTAAAATGACTACTGATCGATTCAGAATCACTTTAAATAGATGTAATCGAGCAAGCTGAGTATGGCATCAATATTTGTTTTCCTCGGGCTTTATTTTTGAGTTTGTAGAACTTGTTTGTGGAAAAAGTCGATTTCAGTGATGCAGCAAGAGTAGAACGAGACTTTTATGAAAGACTTATTTCTATCTTGTTGGTGTTCAAACTTTTAAGATACACTAAAAACGATATGCCAAACTCGATTCATAAATGAGACAACACTAAGGATCAAGCAAACTATCGTATAATTTCTAGAAAAACTTGGTATATCCAAAGAATTAGAAGGACGCTAGTAGATTTTTCACATCTTTGAAACATTGAGACTTATATTTTGAGAATATCCTAAAAGTTTGAATTCCAACAAGATAGACATGAGTCTCTTACAAAAGTCTCATTCTAATTTTCTTACATCACTGACATCAACTTTTTCCACAAACAAGTCCTACAAACTCAAAAATAAAGCCCGAGGTAAACAAATACTGATACAATACTCAGCATGCTCGATTACGTCTGTTTGAAGTAATTCTGAATAGGCATGCACCAAAAACAAAACTCTTAATTTTGAAGTATTGGTTTTACTTTTGTGATACTTTGAAAAAGATTATATATGAAAAGCAAAACCAAAACTAATATTATTTTGACCACAACCTTCAAAACCAAAACCATATGAAAACAAATACCATCAAAGCTGTGTCAAAACCAAAACTTCAAAACTAGTTTTGGTTTTAGTGCATGCAAGTGTAGATGAGGGTGTGAATCTCTCTTCTGTTCACATCCATAGCCTATATTTCTATGTATTACCAGTGTTAGTAGCAATGCATGAATCAGTCAAAGCCAAATCATGTCGGGGCCATCTCGTAGTATTTCTCTCTCTGAGTGCCTTATTTTATGTCATATTATCTACAATCACAGATCATTAGAGATTACATTCCGTTAATCGTGTGAAGGATTGTTATAAAAATAAGAAGCATCTTCATTACAAACGATTGCGACATCTTTCACATTTCAATTCTGCACGAATTCTGCTGAAAAATTTATATTGAAGAACAAAATCACGTGTAAAAAGCATAAGAAAACCTAATCTTTACGTGAAAACACAATTTAAGAAGGTGACTTATAACCAGCGTTCTTTTTGTTTCCTAAGGGATATTCATGAACACCAGGTCCATACCATGCACTACATGTTCGTTCATTATTGTAGGCATGTTTACATCTTGGAATACGTCCACCACGACGAATACACTAACGGCATGTAGAAGCCATGCCAATGCAAGCTTCACACTTGCGAAGAGTGTAGGTGTCTGTTCTGTGTCTCTTTATGCACACGCTTTTAATACAGCACTCTGTCAGGCAAACATTAAAACGAAACGTGCCGAAATTCAAATGAAAAAAGAATCGTAAAAATGTGCGCTTTTAAAAATTTATTTCTTATTACAATTTCGACACGCTCTTCGTCAGTGTTGATATGATTGGATGAAATTTCTTTCAAATAATTTCATTTTTGTACAAAGAAATAGAAAGAGAACGAGTTCCTTTTAACAAAATATCCAGATCGATAAACAGAAAGAAAAAAACGTGTACAAACACGTCAAAATTTCAACCAAAAGTAAATTGTAAAAGCCTACATTTTTACGATTCTTTTTTGTCTGAATTTTCGACGCGCTTTTACACGTCGTTTTTTCACGGTTTGTGTGTGAGGGATAGTATTCTTGTGAAAATCCTTAAAACAATTGAATTTCTATAGCGATTTGATTGAGCTATTGAGTTTTCATTGTCTGTTTTTTAGAAGTCTCGTGCGATCCTGATTTTTCAGAGAAGCCGAATTTTCAAATTTACACTTGACAGTTAGCATCTGCAGAGAGCTTAACTATTCATATTACCTGCCATGGAAAATTTGAGATTTTTCAAACAAAGCCTATCTGAGATGTGACACTTTCACGATATAATCACTTTTTTTCCATAGATCATGATTAGAACAAGAATTTTCAAAAGATTCCATATATCAGATAGGCTTTGTTCAAAGCGTTTGAACTTTTTCATGTTAGGTAGTACGAAGAATAAAGTTCTCTATACGTACAAACTCTCAGATCAAATTTCAAAGATTAAACTGCTCTGAAAATTCAGGGTTGCACAAGTCTTCTAGAAAATAGACATAAAAATCTCAATAGCTTAATCAAATTTCAATAAGAACTCAATCGTTTTTAGGATTTTCACTAGAGCAATATCTATTGTCGATAGGAAAAAAAAGTTGTTTAACTCAGAAGGGACACTCGAAGAAGTTTTCTTTTAAGAGAGGAACGAGGATATCTTCCTTGTAACATATCCTAGAATATTGTCAGTTTGTACGATCGACCACAAGGTAGTTGGTTGTGGACCTGCTCAACATCTAGATATAGGCCCGAAGAGCGACAATCATAGTCACGTCTCAGTCAGAACCCACATCCTCGAATGAGAGTGTCTGAATTGAAACCATAGCACATTTTTTTTTTACAAAGGATAGAATCTCTGATTTGATAAGGAAGGCATATATTACATGTTTTAATTGTTACTATTTCCCTAAGACTTGCCCGATCATAGTAGAGTATTATTCATTGAAGATATTTTAAACACATCAAATAAAAGGTAACTGTAATGTAAAAAAAATGAAGAGATCTTTTTTAAATAATTTTGTTAGAGAATGCGCGTTTTCATGCGACTCAGTTCAAGTTTAAGATTTTTCATATTTGTAACCCGTAGCGACTTTCCTGAATGTTTTCTCGTTTTGCTTTATTGTAAATACATACTAAGACACATACTAAGTTTTAATATTTCACTTTGGAAAAAAGTTCTACACAGAAATGAACACTTGTTTGGGATGAAAGTGAATCAGTGCAGGTAACTTGCAGATGATTTTGTATTAGCATCTATAGCTTCAGGTCTATTGGTGTTTGCAATAACTTCACATCGGTGACACGGAAAAATTCTTAAAAACTAAAACTACAGAATTTTAAACTAGGATTTCACCGATAGATAATCGTAGTTGATAAGAGCAATATACGAGTTTAAAAAAAGGCCAATGTCGCTTCAAGATTTATTGTATTTTGCAATTAAACTCAATAAATCGGCTCTTTTTAGGGCATTTGATACATCTTGTAATTTAAATGACTTCTCAAGAGCTGATCTATTTTTGATAAACTTCTTGACTCTTCTGATATCCCACAGAACTATCGATGGGCAGTAGTTCAGTTGCAGATTCATCAATTTCTTTTTTTCGAAAATGTCTGCTTTTAAGTTAAAGTAAAACCTCATCATATTACTTCGTCATACTCGATGAGTGTTTTATGTAGACGAATTGTTTACAATGTTAATATACACTCACCAATATGTCATAAAGTGACATAGACAATACAAAGAAACCAACTCTAGGATTCAGTTCAATTAAAATTCAGGCTCAAATCTCATTCTAGTCTCAAAAGTGCTAATACCTGTTTTTTAACTAGGACTACCCTTAAGTCATCTCATCTTAGCTAAAAACACCTCATTCAATGATGCTATGTTCTTCGCTATCCAACAAATGTTTAATACAATCCTTAGAGGTTTTCGAGGATGAGACCGACAAGTAGTTTTACTGGACTTTGATCAGGATCAAAAACGTTGGTTTCATACATTTCTACGAGTGATCTATTACAGACATGAACGTTATGTTCGAATTAAATGTACTTAAAAAACGTCTTTTTTTATTGAAAACTAATCAGATCATTCATCTATAGAACATGACCAAGTCATCGTGTCGAAATGAGTTTTACTTGCTTTATCCATATTGATTCAAAACTCTACTCTAAACTAATTTAGTGATCACATAAACGATGGTCAGTACTGCAACAAAATATGTCCTTATCGGTGCTGGTACTACAACTGTTTCCATTGTATCCATGGTTTTGCTCTCGTTTCCCTTCGCTGTGGGATTATCATCAGCTGCTTTTGGTCATATCTATCTACGAGAATGCCCAGTCGAACCGCGAATACCAATCCTTTTGATTGTTTGCGGATATATGACCTTATTTGTCTGCATTTTGACCTTGTGCAGTTTCGTTTTTGGTCGTCGTTTGAGTAATCCAATGGAATATCAGAAGTCAATTATTAATATTCTTTTGGCCGTCTTTATCAACTTGCTCGTTATTGTACGTACTATTTTTTACTTCATAGGTGTTATCTGGTGGCTGCAAGTTCGTTTAAATGTAGTGACCTCTACGACAGACAATGGTCATGACACTCGCCTCTATTGCCATTGGGCTGCTTATTTGTATTTCCGTATTTTGGTGGTTTTCGGTATATGTTTCGTGTTGCTTAGTTGCTGTGCAAAATATTTCTGTGCATATGTAAGGGACGACCTTGAATAATAATTTAAATGAGAAAAGCATTTTCTATTTTTTTTTGCTCTATTTCTACTTCTATTTCTGATTCTATTAAAAAAACGAAATATTATTAATCGTACAACTTATGCTAAAAGATGGGAAAAATTTGATTTTAATCAATTTTTTGTGATTAAAAACCTGCTGTTATGCCACTATTATAAGCGTAATTTAATTTCTGTTTAGTAAAATTGACTTTAATCGTTTTTTTTCAAGGGAAAAAAAATTTGACTCCGTTTATCTCAGTGACATTAAAATAGATCTTTAATTACATAGAAATATGTTTTTGGACATAAATGGTCTCTGTATTTCAAGTTAAAGCGAAACTGAAATGTATACGATCACTTACATAATTTTTTGAGAATAGAAAGGACTTGTAAATTATGATCTAAGTTTACTAAATTTTCGCCAATTCCATGTTCTGCACGTAAACAAATAATTTTTCATAAAGTTCTTGATGAACAACAAGATAATGAGCACTTTCAACACTGGCATCCCAATCTCAATCATAAATAGCAAATGAATCTATTTGAAAACTTCTAAGTTTTCACCATGATTATTTTCTCCTCGTTGTTGTTCATCTGGATATTATTCTAGTACACTCCAGATAATCATATGATAAATTTGAACATAAAAATGATCATATCTGTTCGCCACGATTAATATTAACAGTAAATATTGGTCATGATTTTAATTGTGATGGTGATTGAGATGCTTCACCACCTAATTGTTATTATGCTGCTACATATAAATCTGTTTCTGGATTGAATTTAGCTGTGTTTGCCGTATTTGTTACATTAATTTTAGCAGTAATTTGATCTTTTTTCTTGATTGGCGAGTTCATGTTATTACAGTGAAAGTATTTTCGATAGTTTGCTTCTTTTTATAATTAGAAGCAAGTACATTACCTAATCAAAAAAAGAAACAATCATAGAATGAATTCAGAATATTTAAAACCACTTATGAGAACATTACAACGGCAAATCAGCGTTATTTTAACATCTAAAATATGAAAATGAATATGGCACTTTTCTTTTATTGCGTTTTGTTTTTGAATCTAATAATAAATGGGCGCATATTTGGATCAGTGATTTTTTTTCACTCATTGTGAATTAATCAACCGAAATCATTCTATACAATATGCACTGTTTTTTTCATTACCTATTTTTCTCCTATACATTAACAACCTGAAGTGTTTGAAAGAAGGCGTATAATGGCATAGACAATGAGAATTAAAAAAATTGTATTTATGAAGGAACATTCCAAATTGTCCAATCGCTTATCGCGTAAGACTATTACCATTCGATCGATCATAGTGAATAGTATGGCATGGCTGTGGAATTAAATGACGAATATTATCTGAAGTTTTCATTTCTTCTACTGTCGTAATCATTTGTCGTAAAATTTCTATCGTTTGAAATTGATAGTTAATAAAATGAACTTGATTACTTATCATAGCTGTATCTATTGTTGAGATTGATATACGAGAATTTTCACATACACTATTCTTTATAACAATTAATAAGGATTGTTCTTCAATTAAATGAATTAGTTTATTTATTAATTTAAATAATAAAACACTATTATTATCAACTATTTTGTCATTAAACATTTTATATATTTCCATCTGATTCTTTTGCACTTCAAATTCTCTGTAAACTTATTTCAATTAGAGATCTGATTTGTGTTAATAAAAGAATTTTCGTCATATTTATGCATCGTACATATATATGTATATATAACTAGTGTGGATCGAATATCGATACACTTCGTCCTAGACTGACAGAATTGAGATGTCTATATAGTGTGTGAGTGTAGGTATGAATGAAGAGAAGATTCATATTCATACCCACACCCACTCTCGTTTAAATTAGTATTCAGATCCATTTGTTGTTGACTTATAAGAGTAGCAATTTCTTTTAAATGTTGTTGATGTTGAGTGTCAAAGTTTTGAGTTAATTGAATACAATAAACTGATGCTTTATTATAATCATATTGAAATTTAGTAAGATGAATTGAAATCTTTCCGGAACTGCTCTGAAATTGAGTCCATTAAAATAGTAAATCCTGAACGAACACATGTATTTTAGAAAAGATTTATTCAAGTTGAAAATATTACTATGTGATAGTATTCATAAGATCTGTTTACAACCAAAATTATTGACCGAGAGGATGATATTGGATACTTTTATAGCTTTTTCTGAATGATCTCAGGAATTCCGGCGCGTGGGTGTCGATCTTCTCTTTCCCCACACCCCCCCACACACACACCCACCCACACCCACCCTCGCACCCACCCCACCCACACCCACCCACACACCCACACCCACACCAATTGAAAAGAATAGTTATTGTCTAATTCGATGATGGTGGAAGACAGAGAGATGTGATCCCGTTATATTTCTGCCAAACTTGTTTGGAGCTGGATATGGAACTAGTTGCCACTTTTTGGCCAAAAGGCTGAATATAGTCTGATCGTGACGGTTTTGCCTAAAGCCGGGATAATTTGGCTTACCGAGTACGTTGTTGTCGTCTGTGATAATCCGACTATCTTGTGCATATGTCAACCATGCAGCAATAAAGGCCGTACTAATAAAACTTTTCTTGACAACAACATATGAAGCGAAACGACTTCGTGTCCTCGTAAATTTCGGCTCGTCGGCATTGAGAAGAATGAAAGCGTCTCTTTTTGTCCAAGCATATTCCTAAATTTTGAAATCGGAGTGAGAAAAAGAGAAAATTCATTCTTTTACTTTTTTTATTTGCAAGCTCTCCTTATTTTACAAGTAACATCCTTAGATAAAAACACGAAAATCCTAGAGTTCAAACGATTTATATAGTTTTTTTACAGGTGTGGGTGTAGATGGGGATGTGAAAAGTGGAATGTGGATGTAAGCGTAGGAAAAGGAATATCCTGATCCACATCCACATCCTACACTGACATCCACACCAATACTCAAACTCATATTCACATCTATATGCACACTCAAAAGGCGAAACTTTTTTGTCTACATACTTCAAAAAGGTTTTGTACATCAGTGCAGAATGTTTTGAAAGGTCTTTCGCTACGGTATATGGAAGAAACCTTTTGTGTTTAGAGTATAGTTAGTTGATGATCGTCTACTGTAGGAAATATTTCGAGAATTCCGTTGTTATGTGTAAGGTTGGTACAAAGTTTATGAAGAATCAAAAGTAAGCCCTAAAGATGCCTTTATTATTCGGCCTCGGAACAAGTTACAGCTGTGCAAGTTTCATAGAAGATGGTATAACATTTTAAAGGTACTAATGACGACAGAACGAGAAGAAAAACCTTCTGCTACCAAAAATAAGTCCTTCAACACTTGGTATCCATGATAAAATTTTCAAACTTCTATCTTTTGAAACAGAAAAGCTGATCAAGATTCAGTTTAGATGGACGACCGGACCTTCTCAAACTACTGAAAGCTGTTCGCAACATCTTCAAATTTTTTTTCTAACTCTAAAGATATGCTAAGGCAAACCGAAGTGCCACAAAATTATAAAGTTTAATTGCATTTGCAGGAAGTTGATATAAACTCTGGTACAATTTCGAAAGAATGACCCGTATACAACTTTGAGAAGCCAATTGCAAATTCGGTTTCCACGACCCAGCAAAATTGTGGTTAAGTTATATCAAATGCAGTTATTTTCGTAAAATATGCCACTGGTGGCCGAAAAAACATCACGAAAAAGCTTGTTAACGCAGCTTCTTTGGGACTCAAATGTGAAACTCACATATCTTCTTTGGTTTCATTATACTAGTCACAAATACCCAATATTTAAATTCTCCAAAAGATAATAGTTCTTTTCTAATGGTAATCGATTATCAGAAAAAGCTGTCTTTTTATCTTTATACTTCGAACAGAAATTTTTTCTTTTATTGGTGAAGCTGCTACGGTTTGTAGTGGGGAGAATCTATAACGGGGACTGTTTGTAATAGGGGATGTCCGTAATGGAGGACTCTCGTTGCTATGGCCTGTAATGGGGGATGTCTGTAAGGGGAGGGAGGAGTCGCAAAAACTTGACCTTAAAATTTACACTCACTATTTTCTTCAAAAATATATGTGAGTTCGAATGTAATGCTCTTCGACGATCTTGTTTTCGGCGAAGAGCATACTTACCTTACTACTTATCTGCAAGTATTGCGTAAATCCTACCTGGTTAGTGTTGAGTATTACAACTAATAACTTACTCATAAGTAGGATAAATAATGATGCTTAGAATGGAAGGACTACCAATGTAAAATAACAATTCGTCAATGCTTACTATTAATTGATAAAAATCAATTATAATCATACTTTTAAAATTAATAATTGGAGCAGAAATAATCACAGAAAAAGCAGTGCGAAATTGATTGTTTTAATTAATTTGATTATAATCAGCTTTTTACTGTTCTCCAAATCAGTTAGAATCAAATCAATCAAAATAATCGTTTTCGTACTGATTTTTTTGTGATTAGTTCTGCTTCAATTATTGATTTTAACCGTGTGATTATAATCGATTTTTAATCGATTCCTAATAATTATTGAAGAAAGTTTTTTTTTTATATGGATAATAGTCGATGTGTCATCTAACCATTTATTTCTATTAAATGGATAATTTTTCGAACATAAAAGCACTTACGTTTACCACGGGAAATGAAAGT